AATCTACCTTTGACTATGTGTATGCCTTGTGCAATTCATGTATAAGTAGGAAATCCCAAATTCAAAAGATTGTTGCATTGTCTTCAACTGAGACTAGATATATTGCTACAACGGATGCCATAAAAAGAAGGAATTTCGTTAAAAGGACTTCTAAATGAATCTGGTTTCATTAAAGATGTTTTATTCTCTAACAGCCAATCTGCCATTCACTTAAGCAGAAATCTTATTTTGCACAATAGATCTAAACATGTCGATGTTAGATTTCATTTCATTAGAGATGTTATTTCATAAGGAGTTGTGAGCTTTCGACTTATTCTAACCCTGTTGATGTTGGTACCAATGTATTGCCTTTAAACAAATTTCAAGATTGTTTAAGTGAGCTGAACATTAACATTTGTTGATTATGTGTAATAGGTAATCGAGCAAATGATGCCATGTTGTGAAAAATCACTATAAGTAGAAACTTGAATCATTACCCCAAAGTGGAAATTGTAGAAACATGTAGCACAATGATGTTGATGATTTGGATACTGACAAGATTGTTTAGTTAATCATTTGGCCGGACTATTTGTTATTATTGACCCTCTCTTGCAATTTACAAAAACATGTTTCTTTAAAATGCATCTCCTTTAGTGGATTCTCTCATGCATGAGATGATGCCAAGTGTCACCATAACAACCATTGGATGGCTGACCTTTTGATGACTTCTTAAATGCTCTTTCATCTACCTAGGGTTGAATGGATGGATTTCATTATTCATTTTCTCTCTACCTCTCGAAATTCTTGTGACTCTCTCACCTTCTCTGTACACTTCTTGAGTGATTTGTAAATCTTGATTGAGTCATATGTTCTTGAGTGAACTTTGATGTATAGATCAAGAGGTTATATGATGTAATCTTGAGTGATTCATCCTGAGTGCCTTGGTGGTGTATACTTGGACGGTTTCTGTGATTCCGATTTCTTAATACAAGTGGTTTCTTCCGGTGGTGGAAGCTCGAAAGTGGATTATGAACTTTGTGAACATCTTGCCTTAGGGTGAAAATCTTGTGTTTTTCGTTTAATTTTTCTTGATTTCTGTTTATTTTGCACACTTTGTCGGTAAAATTTTCTGATCGATTGAACCTAATCTTAAAAATATATAATCTTCCCTAATCCTTTTTACCCATGGATCTAGTATGGGCGGCTGCACCGACTCGCCAGATGCTTTATCAGACCCTGCTTATCCCACATTAAAAGTTCACAATAAAATTCTTGAAGATGCCATTTATAAATTAGTGGACCAATAAGTACGTAAACAACTTTTTTGACATTTCAATCCAACTGACTAAAAGTTGAAAGAACCGGCCTCGAGTCGTCCAATTAATGGAGAAATCGGCCAATTGACTTTTTTTTTAATCGATTGAACCAACTAATTTGATCTAATTTTAATAATATTAAAAAAATTTCGTTTACGAATGGGGAAATTTCTAATAATAATAATAATAATCCACACCTTGAGGCACGTTAAGCAGTCGCTCAGGCTTAGCATTTTTGCACGCCTCACCTAGGCGTGCCATTTACAATACTGCTATTAATAAGTTCTACTTTTTTTTTCTTTTTTTCTTTTTTTTATTGAGTCTGTGTCTTTTCTAATATAGTATCAAAGATTAGAACATTCAAACAATCAATCTCATCTAAGGTTTAAACACAAAATTGGATTTCAATATTAGTACTTACAAAAGAATTATTAATTCTTCTAAAGTTTATTTAGACGAACAACTCATACCAATTCCTCCTTGTCCACCTACCTTGAAGGGGAAAAAATGGTGTTAAGAGATTAGGGTTAGATTACTATTTTTTATAAATTTGAAATTTGAAATAGAAGATCAAATCTTTAATATGGTATTAGAGTTTGAAAAGCTCAAGTGAGCGATAGATCTCATCCAAAACTAAACATGCGGTCGAATTTCAAGATTAGCATTCTTAAATAAATTTAATCTTGAAAACCATGTTAAGGATACAAAATCATATTAATAAAATCAAAAAAATGATAAATAACATATAGAGATCAAAACAACTCCTATTAAGAGCATTATTCATCTTCAATAAACTTTTTAAAAATGAAATGCTATTTATTTTAAAGATCAAATATTAAAATAAGGTTTTGAGAGACTCTTTATTTTAGTTTATTAAAAATAGAGAGCGAGTTTGACTTTCAATATTTTGAGAGTCAAATCTACTCTTTATTTATATATTATTGTAGTTGGATTTTGCCCCTATTTGATGTATATTAAAATAGATTTTGATAAAAATTGATGAATATATGATTGAAAAGAACGGGATCCCATTAACTGTTGATTTTAATTTGACTTTTATCTCTTCCAAACAATGCAATAACAATTAATAACATTGTAAATTTCAATATTTTACTATATAAGTTAGGGTGATTATATTAACACCATATATTTATATAAGTACACCGCATCTCTATTATATTAAAGGTCATTGATCTTTATTTAGTATCACACTTATATTTTTAACTTTTTTTTTTAATCACATTCTTATTTGTTATAATTCATTATCAAAAAATCTTGTCCCTAATCATTATTTTAGTCCAAAAATATTGTTAACGTACTTTAAAAATGAGGGTTCAATATTTAATCGTATTTTTACATTATTATTTATTTTTACTAATTTACTTTTCCTAGGGATGGTAACATGGCGGGGATGAGGCATCTTTTTTGCCCCGTTTGCTGCCCCACTTATTTATTTTTTAATTTTTTATATACATTTTCCAAATTTCAAGTTATGCAATTATTAGAGAATAAAATACAAATTCAAAATGGATTTTTAATTGGTGAATCTTCTAGAAATAAAATAATTTTTTAATTCAAATATAAGTTGGTTCAAATGAATGATAAGATTATTGTTTTCGTTTATTTTCTGGGTTTGTTCTGAACTGATAAGATGTGATACCGTTTGTTAATTTTATTGGTTGTTGTTGAATGCATGATTTAAATATAGAAGCTTGCTCTTTGGAGAGTTTTTAGTTTATCATTTTATCTGAATAATTCAAAATGAGTGTTTTTTTTTTTTTTCCACGAAGCGGGTTCGGTGTGGGGCAGCCATGACGGGACACCCTGCCCTACCCTACTCGGGGACGAATTTTTCTACCATCACTGGTTTTTTCCCTTTAAAATGTGAAAATTAATTAAGGGGAATTCATTTCCACGTTGAAAAATGGGTTCAGGACTTTTAAGATTAATAGCATGTCATTGTCATATAATATTCTTATCATTTTAGATATATTAAGAAAATTTTAGTATATTGATATTTTCTTATCGATATATGTCTTTCTTATTTTGAATATATAAAAAATTTATAATACTGACGAACAACCAATCTCTCAAAGGCTAAGCGAATTACGTAACTTTATTTTTTGTCAAAAATAAAAAAATAAAAAACTTACATATAATAATAATAATAATAATAATAATAATAATAATAATAATAATAATAATAATAATAATAATAAATACAAGTTTTCAAGAGATTATTTCAAGTGTGATCAAATAAACAAAAACAAACAAATCCCTAATTTAATTTAGACTTTACACGGATGATATGTTTTAAGAAATTTAACATATAACGAGTATATCATAAGACGTCAAATCCCAAAAATAATTTTATTAGTTTAGACAGACATCGAAAGCGTACTGTATTTACCATTGTGCATTCATGACCTAAAATTTTTTGCCGTTTCATATCCCTTCTTTTTTTTTCTTTTTTCTTTTTTCTTTTGCTTTTTTTTATTTATTTCTAGAGTAAAATATCAAATATATATGCCTCATAGGAAACAATTCTAAAAAATTTCGCTATACTAAATAATCCTCAAGCAATAGTTAGTAGAAATCAATGGAAGAGCATCTCAGGTGTCAATGTGGATTGCATTAAAAAAAATATCACATAAGCAAAAAAATATACACTATCTCCAAAAGTTAATCCCTAATGCAATCTTAGTAGGATTTCATTTAATGACAGGGAATACAAAATATAGAGATTTTAAAACAACCTCCTAAACATAAAAGTTCTATTAGTCGAGATAAGTTATCAAAATTTAGCCCCCACGGGCATGGTACAGTGATAAAGTAGGAGGGTTCTATACGGAGTATCAGTGGTTCAAATCCCCGTGACAACTAAAAGGCAACATTTATGTTGGAAGGCAATTGTCCTGTAAAGGCAAAGCTATGGTGCGTTTTGTCGCCCTTTCGGGAGTCCTATCCGCACGTCGTAAAGGGAGGTCTACAAAAAGGAAAACCATATCCCAAATGTTCGGCCCAAGTGTGTATAAACTGTGTCCACATTCAAATTTACCTGAGTGGCAAACCAAAGGAAAATGCCGTCACTCCTCAAAATTAGTCATATAAAACTTGAACACCTAAGTTATAAAAAAAAAAATGGTTATCAAAATTTATACTCTATCCATCCTATTTCTTATTTTTACTCTCATCCTGTTTGTTATTTTCTCAGTTCCTATTTAAAAAATTTTGAGTTAATTTTTTTCGCGCATTTGTCATCCATTCATTAAGTATCAACAAGATATATTTGTATTTATCTGCCAATTAGACTACAATCCGTACAACACATTGGAGATTCTTCTCTGGAGGGCATCAAATGCAACAAGTTGGATTTCATTTACACTTTGCGCCTGCCTTTCGACCTCACAGGCTACCAAGCATTAGAACCATAAAACTGACATTTTCACCTCATATGGCTCCTTGTTCAATACTTTTAAACCCATTGGGTCCATTTCCACTTTCAAGATTTCCACCATTCTTTCAAGTGGCGTGGCGGGGCGGGGCGGGGCGGGGCGGAGGCGGTGCATTTTGCCATCCCTCAATTTCAAACACACTCAAAAACGGCAATTAAAAAAAAAAAAAATCTAACATGGGCAGCAGCATCCTGTCAATTGTTCTCTTGCCAAAACTAATATCTAATAAAAGAAGAAAAAATTCCACACATGCAACAGAATACTAAGTTCTTAATGGACAACAACCTGCATGATGTTTTTCTTGACAAAAAGAATTTTTCAAAATTCATGATTATGAAGTATAGCAGATAAAAGGTATGATTCTATGAAAAACCAAAAATCCTGACGACAATCTAGAATCTAGGAAGATTAATTCAGGACTCCGTTGCTGGCCACCACTCCTTGACCCTCTTTCTCGCTTGTAAAATGATCGACTTCTGTGCTACGTTGAGAAGTGCTAGTTTTGCCATTTCTAAAATGAGTCTGGTTTCCATTCTGAAACCTTCGGTTATTAACTTCAACATTTTCCCGTCCCCTGAAATTGCCATTTCGGAAACCACCTCTTGCTGGTACAGACGCCCCTTCACGGTTGCCACCTGCTGAACGAGATAAACAGTCAGTCTCCCACAAATAATGAGCAATTTCACTAAATAGACAACCGAATAAAATTGAACCCTGTTTATGTGACTTAAATAAGAAAGTGAAGAAGAGTGTGTCTACTTACCTCGATTTGATCTCTTATACATTATATAGGCTTCTTTTTCACCAAAAGTAACATGATGAGCCTGAAAATTTTAAAATCACCAAGTTGTGTGTGAAAAGATTTACATAAATATCTCAGCAAAGTAGAATAATAGTTGTAACAAATACCTCGACTGCACGTCGTGCAGCATCTGAGGATTCAAATTCCACAAACCCACAACAAAATCCGTCCTGACAACGAATTTTAAAAAAGGTCAGCAGAAGGAAATGATAAAATTCATGCACAATCTAAATACAAAGCAGACCTCGTGCTTTTTGATCTGGACACAATCATTAATTCGTTTGACTTGCCCAAATTGTCTAACGACTTCTACCAGTGAATTTTTTGTTATATTGTAGGGCAATCCTCCAATATATATTCCTCTAGCTGAGACGATGAAATCCAATAAACTAGTCAGCAAGAACATCATAAACACCTTGCATAGATGAACAGACTAAATTACCTTCTCCAAAGGTACTAGCATTAGGTGGACTATCGCTACGAGTCGAGACCTTAAGTCCAACTTTGCTTGGGAGAGTCGGGGACTTAGATGCATGATTGCTAGGAGTTGAAATTTTGGATGCATCGTCACCAAGATGAGTTGGTGATTTAGGTACTGGAGGGGCGACCAATTGTTGCTTAGTATTTGTAGAAGCCCTTACAGTTTTGTTGGCAGGTGCAAGGATTGGAGAAGTAATAGAACTTGCTTTTGACACCTAAAGATAAAACAGAAAGACAGAACATTTAAATTCTGAAGAAATAGAGTAACCTTTTATGAAATTTATAAGGAACGGACCATTGAAGCATAAGTAATTTTCTTGGCATCCTCCTTTACTGGGGTTTCAACAATTGGAAGCACATTCTCCTGTGGAGGGTTGGAAGGTTTAGAAACAGCAACTCCAGCAACAGTATCATCAATGACAGAAGCACTTGATGCCTC